CGCTATCAGCATCCCATTCAGTTTTCCCGGAGATTTCTCACAAACGAAATCGTTGGATTAATCTTAACAGTTTAAACAGATACGCTCTCTTCATCTTTGAACTTTGATTTTTCCTCTAGCATCTCCAGTAAGTCTCGAAGCTGATGTTTTGCGAACTCTTTTTTTTTCTAGGATCATTCATGTCTAACTTATCTCTATCTGGCTTGAAATGCTCATTAAGCCTTGATTGATCAGATTAGTACTTGACTGTAGCCGTCCGAGATTAGGTAACTTTATTAGGCTAACGTTTCGGCTTCTTCTTCGTCAGAGCCTGAAAAAGTCAAAAACAAATGTGACTTGCCCTCTCAAACGCCTCCACAATACTGAAGACGATTTGCATATCTTAGTAAACCACCTAACGGTTAAAGTATGCCTGTCGGAATGCAAGGTACCCACACCGTGGAAAACCAGCAAGACTGTGGTGCTGTACAAGAAGAAATACTTGGACGACGGTGATCATTGATCATTGATTGAGATTTGACCTCCCCTGATCGCGCGGGAAGTTTAGTACATAAGCCAGTGACTTGCCTTTGAAGTGTTCATTCATCTCATCGACGCTCATGGATCGCGCATTACAAGGATAGAGCATTCATTAATTCATTCATCTACGCGCTTTTATTTGTTGTATTCTCTCATCATATCGTTATCTGTTATTCATGCATTCATATTATTTCTATCTCTAATCAGACATTCTTATTCAATTTCTAGCACGCATCCATTTATTGCCCTCTCCTAAACGCGCGTTGCGTCACATCATACCACGCGTAAATCGAATTGTTGTAATCACTAGATGCAACGTATTCTGCACTCTAGTATATACCCAATGCTATCATAGAATGATACGTTGTAAATATGATATCCTGCTTCATGAATCCTTTCGAAGTATATTGTTCTCTCCATACACTCATGATCAAATCATTCGTAAAATGATATCACTTTCCAAATGTTATCTCACTCTTGAATATTCACCAAATACTTAGAAGTATTTCTGATGTATAGTCTCATTCGTGTGCTTCTTTTTGTATTAACGCATAAACGTTTAATTACCACAAAGTTAGAACAAAAGCAAAGACAATGATGCATCCTATAGCACGCAAGTTTGCACGAACTATATCTCAATGCATCTATAGCAAAGTAAAATGCTGGACATCAGTCTTTAAAGAATGAATATAATCGCATCAACCTGAAGCACAATATTCACACCTATGTTCACATTTTGTGCGGTAGCAGACAGAGCAATTTATTGAAAATTCGTATGAAAATGGAGTGGCATGAACAGGTACAATCGCCGTGTGCATGTGTTTGAGCTTGTCATTATTCCTGTCAAAGTGAACGCTCGATCATTACAAGCTATGTCATTTTGAGATAATGCAAAAGGTACTATATCCTACATAGAATTAAATTCCTATCGACTGATGAATGCAAGGATTCAAATGCTAGAGGCTTTTCTGACAAATGCTGTTGGTATCAGAGGAGTTCACAATGTCAATCATCCCTCACCTACTGCGATCATCCGAGAAATGATTTTACAACAACTTCCTGTCAATGATTACGGCACAACACCTTTGCATGTTCCTGATGCTTGTGATCCCAAGTGAACAATATATTGCCATTTCACCAAAGGCCGATGCAAGACCGAATGCTATGATGTGCAGCAATCCAAAGTCAAATCTGGCCTCAAGAGGATCGTTCCACAAGCTGAAATAAGCAGGATTGGGCAACAGTGTTGACAAATCTCATTGCTCAGCCGTTGAGCTTATCTGCTATGAGATTTATAACCATGTCAAATATCGGTATGTCGCCCTAGAATAAATCACATTGACGTACGCCTATAGTAGATCACGATGCATTTGATACAAATCAGCAAGCCTCGCGATCTTCTTGCAAGACGCTCAATTTTCTTGTTGGAAATTACAGATTACAGGACGGTTTACGAGAAGATCAATCGACCAAGAAATATTTGTCAACTGTATAGTGGTCTGGTGCTATCAATATTGCGAAAAGAGAAAACTAAACTCTGCTTCTGTGCAAACATTGCAAAACAAGCACATGAGCTTTAACTACCAATCATTATTCAATGATAAAATTGGCAAAGCTTGTGAAGAAGAAAGATAAACAATATTCTGTAACAACGATGCAAAGATATTTCTCCTCCAACTACAGATAGCTTGATAACTCTTAAAATGAACTGCAATTATATCACCACAGAACTAATGATTTTGCAAAATTTTTCATAACTTATCCAACACTGATTTCTCACCCAGTAACTTCTTAGAAAACACTCAAAATAGAATGAATGGTTATAAATCGATCAGAGAACATGTACAAAATGTCGGTGAATAACTATGCCATACCGTAATCGCATGAATGGTGTAAATTGGATCGAAAAAATCATAATATCGCGAACGGATAGAATACTGGTTATAGTGCGGGGATACAACCAGTGAAAACGCCGCATCGCAAATGTTCGAGCTTGACAATAAAATGCGTAACTATCGGGAGCCAATGATTACCTATCTGTCTTTATGTTATACAATTATCAAGAACATCAACCTCGAAAGTGATCGTGGCCTGATCAAATCGGTCAAACTACCTGCAAAGTTATCTTCCATGTAATCTGCAAGATCAGAAAAATACCAATTGATGACAAAAACAGATCGTTCCGGATAATAACAGCGCAGATGACATATCAGTGAACAAGACAGAAATCTGATAGGAACACTAACTAAGAATGCAGCAACATATCTGCCCAGTCCTAGAAGCCGGCTCTGTCCATGAATCGTCTCTTTTGACAAACAGCAAAAGATCTGTCCAAAGCGGGTGTCCATGTTCCGACATTCAGGACGCTCATCGTGCATTAATAAGGAACCACCAAAGCTGTCCACTTTACATCAACAACACAAGAATAAATTGCTCAAAAACCTCAATCTGAGAAAGGACAACAACCTTCTCATACGAGCATGCGGACGCCTTAACAAATCGGATCTGGACGAAGAGACCAAAAACCTCTTCTCGTCTTACCTAACACAGAGCTGTCTCGACTCATAATTCTAGAAGCGCACGGAAAATACACAAAAATGTTGACAAGCACAATATTGGAAGTAAGGCATCTATACTGGATTCCACGCCTCCGCGAGCAAGTCAAGAAGTGCATCAGATCATGTGTACCATGTCAAAAGATGAACAGTTTGCCTTATAAATATCCTGAGATGACGGATCTTCCGAAATATCGAGTAACAAGATCACGACCATTCCAACATACAGGTCTGGACTATTTCGGTCCTATTCCCATCTACGGAAACAACATGGAACGCATGGAAGCTCATGGGTGCATATTTACATGCTCAGTAACTCGACTTGTTCATTTGGAAATTGTGCCCTAATGCTACGACGGAAAAACTTCTTGAATGCATTTCGTCGCTTCGTCGCTCGACGAGGAAAACCAGAACAAGTGATCTGTGACAATGCCCCCATATTCATCCTTGGGAGTCAAATCATAAATGACAGCCTCAGCAATGATCCAACGGATGAAGACGTCCGTCGAGAAATGAGCAATCAACTAATCGAATGGAAGCACCATATAACGCCTCATTCGCCTTGGAAGGGCGGCTTCTACGAGCGTCTCATTAGATCAATCAAACAGGCACTATACAAGGCAATAGGAAGACGAATACTTACAATGAACAGCTTCAAACAATCCTCACCATGAGACATGCTGTCATCCAAATTAATTAGGCCACCATCTCTACGCCAAGAAAGCAGTATCAACGACGTCCTACGTCCATTACGCCCTATAGACTTCATTCAACGAGAAATCAATCTCGACATGTCATGGAAACTCCCTGAGGAAGAGCGCACAGATCCAACCTTCCTTCCGGCATCGGAAGCCCTTCAATTAGAAACGAGAATCCAAGCTCAAAAGACACCCAGTCCTCCCTGCGACTTAACAGAAAGATATTGGGATAATTGGAGAACGCATTACCTCACAGCTCTACGAGAACAACATCGTCAGAACATCGATAACAAGCGTGGGAGTATCATAAAGATAGAAGAAGGACAGGTCGTACTCTTGGTAGACCCGCTCATGAAAAGAAACCACTGGAAGCTTGCTCGTATCACGAAATTAATGCAAAGTCAAGACGGAGAAGTAAGAGAAGCGCAGGTCACCAGCAACGGAAAAACTTTCAGACGCTCGTTAAACCACTTAGTACCTCTCGAAATTCAAGGAAACAGCGGCAAGTTAAACTTGGATTCCCCGGAAAGTCAGTCAAACACGCGACATTCGCCACCGGAAAACATTAATCCGCACTACAACTTGCGCCCCAGGAAATCACCACCCACTCACTGCAAAGCACAACATTCAGAGTTTCAACTAAGGAATCGACGCCAACGGGCTTCCTCACTGTATCTGAAGATGGCCTAATGCTATCAGTCTTCACGATACTGCATGGAGAACATCCCACTCAGAAAAGTGTGAAAGTAAATTCAGGCCACCAAAGCCAGTACATGAATCGAGGTGTATATTTCCTTTCCACCACAGGATAAAGAACCACAGAGGGGTGCACATCCATCGAAACAGCTTCATTATGAAATTAATCAGTACATCAACCAAAATCTGCGTAACTATGGCCTAACCAGCAAGCGAACATCAATCATCAACATCCGTCCTATAGCATGGAAAACCTTTGGTTTAGGAGACATTACATCCAATCTCAAGAAACAGGAATAAGCACCATTTCTTCTACCATTGTTGTACATGGAATCACATTCAGTGCATTTCGTACATTTTTTACGGGCATCACTCAGATCTGTTGCCAAAGAGAGTGCAAAAAACATTCTAAAAGGAGTTCTCACCAAGTTAAGGATGTTACATTACTAACCAAAACGGATAAATTAAGTTCATTTAAACAAATTTTGATACTCTACTTGACAACACACTCAGCGCATTATGTTACAGAAAGATGTCATCGGAAAAGGACGACGAATACACCAGAAGACGTCGCGCAGAAGAAGAAACACTCATAGAAACAATCCGATACAAAAGGCGGCGCATCAAATTGGCACCTTCCTTTCCATCAGAAGATGAAATTCAACACAAAATTCGTACAATTCTTAGTTCTGTCATTGATCTCATTCAATCCAATAATCTCTTTGACTTTTTCACTGAGATCCGCGGTCGTAAGCCTGAATTCTTTGCCAAAAACGAAGCCACTCTTTACAAATGCCACTTGGAAAAGGTGCATCTGCAGGCATGTCACATAACGGACAAAATTCGGTGCGGAACGGAAGCATTATCAATGGGTTACGACCTCTACAGACTTCTTGTTCAGGCGGATGACTCATTAACAAGCTCTAGGGACAAGTTTTTCGAAGAGGAAGTCAAAGGAGTGTCTTTTGACCCTACCTTTACGGCAGAGTTTGTTCGCAAAGAACTCGAGTTTTTAGAGGATTTTTGTCAGAAGATCCAGACGGAAATCCGCGAAGCCGAACTCCAGCTGAATACTGAGACTCATGAATCTTTGTCCGAAGAAATCAAGCGCATTCTAGCCAATCTCGAGCACAAACTTGATGAGAAATTCGAGCATTTCAGTCAGCAGCAAGAACAATTTAGTCGCAAGTTGACCGATCTTGAGCACAAACTCGACGAGACACGGGAGCATTGCAGTCAACTGCAAGAAGAAATCAAATGCATGCTGAAAGAACCTAAAGAGCCCATAAATAATAGTCGTCTTGTCTCGGAAAAGCAATCACATTCACCTGCGGGCACACCATCGAGACGGAGCACCGAGGAAGATCTCTTGGATCTGGAAGATGATGTTGTTTTCCAGAATTCTGACGAGGGGACGTCGACAGCAACAATAACGTGCCAGAAAGACCATCGGCGGAAGAAGAGAGACTCGAGCTTGAGCATCGCTTGAACATTCTGAGAAACCGGGTCGAGATGGAGCGCAGAGTTCCAGAAAGAAAGATTAATATGCACGACGTTATGCAAGAGAAGGACCGTTTTCTTCGATGCTCATTTTGCTTCGCTAAAGGATTGCATTATAGCGACAGTTGTCCGGAAGTACCCACCGTAAAAGGTAGACTGAAGCGCATCCGTTGTGAGCATTGTTTGGATATTAGACATGAAACCGTTCACTGTTGGAGAACCAGAAGGGAGTGCATGTATTGTTCTTCCACGGATCACAACAAGGCCATATGCACACTCCCTGAGCGCATCTACGAATATTACAGAGAGATTGAGGAAATCGAGCAAGAACTGGAGACAAACAAGGACTACTACTATAAAGCCCGATCTGGACCAGCCCCAAGGGGGGAGTATCACGACGGTGATCATTGATTTGATTGAGATTTGACCTCCCCTGATCGCGCGGGAAGTTTAGTACATAAGCCAGTGACTTGCCTTTGAAGTGTTCATTCATCTCATCGACGCTCGCGGATCGCGCATTACAAGGATAGAGCATTCATTAATTCATTCATCTACGCGCTTTTATTTGTTGTACTTCTCTCATCCATTCGTTATCGTTTATTCA